CTATTGTGATGAAAATAAATTGAAAATTTTATTTTTAAAATAGAATCTCCATCATGCAAAAATAAGTATAGAATAAATTAGGCGACAATTATGAATCGTTGAAGCGACCAACTTTTTGTATTGTGGAATAAATATAACTACGAGCACAACTTGACACATAAATAAATATTCATCGACAAAAAATAATTTGCGTAATAACTTTACATGTTGTAAAAAAAATGACATATATAAATAATCACAAAATAAATTAGGCAACAACTATGCATCGTTGCACAAATGATGATGCGATAACTTTCTGTGTTGTGAAATAAATTTAATTATAGACACCACTTGTTACGTAATAAATTTTACTATAACTGTTGAATATATTAAAATATATTACGCGACATATCAAACATATTGTAAAACATATTTTGCAACAAATAATACTTGTTATTAAAAATATATTACTACGAGCATGTGTTGGTGCAAAATAAAATAGGTAGCGAAAATTACACCTTTAAAAAATATTCGCAACAAACATTTTTCTCGTAAAAACTTTATTGGAATAATCATTGTAACAAACTATCATGTCACCTTTTTGTTTTTTTGTTTTCACGACATATATGCATTGCGATGACATTATGACTACAAATATCGTATTGCTATTTCATATTTTTTTGCGTCAAATAAATAATATTACGATTTTGTTAAAGCAACAAATGGCTGAAAGTTGTCTTAGAATACATTCCATGATTCAACATTTGGAACAAACATATTTCTTGTAAAAACTTTATTGGAATATTCATTGCGGTAAACTGACTTGTCGCCCTTTTAATTTTTCGCGGCAGATATACATTGTGATGATATTATAGCCACATATATTGTGTTGCTATTTCGTATTTTCCTGTGTCAAACGAAGATTGTCACGATTTTGTTGATACGATGAGTGGCCGAAAGTCATAATAGATAACATTCTGTGACTTATATAGGGCGACAGTACTTGCAACAAACATATTGTTGTCGCTACATTACTTTTGCCACAAAATCTCAATATTTGCAACAACATTTTTTGTTGTTGTGAAATTGACTATTTTTTGTAGTGTCTGTGTAATCCTTTTTGCATGTATGATCATTTAATTCTTTTGCAATGTTATATGTTACACTCTCAATCTGTTTAATGTACATAATTGCATGAATTGAGAGTGATTTCATTACTTTGTGTATGAGTTTGCATGCATAGTGAGTTGAAATCTATGACATACTCAATTTGATCTATGAGTGGTGTGAGAGTGAGAGTGTGTGTGTGTGGTAGTAAGAAGTAAGAGGAATGACTATTTTCTCTTTTACCTTTGTGAGCCTATGTGATTTGTAAGATTATATGTGGTATCCATGTGTAGATTATCTTCTTCCTCTTTGTGAGCTTCTTTTGTAAATGTAGTAACCATTTCTTATGTTCTCTTTATGTATACCACATTTACCATTCCCCTTGTGGTAAATCCTTTGTGGACTTCTTAAGCAATTGGCGATATAAATTGAGCGCTTACTTTCGTGGTTGCCAAAGGTTTTGATTTTATCATATTGGGTTTGAGATATGTCACGGAAGCTTGCTTCAAGGATTGTCAAAACAATGTTTTTTGGGCTCAGTTTAACGTTACATTTCTCTACCAAACAACCAATCCAACCGACTCCAATCCAAAATCTATATATTCACCTTGATTACTTCTTAATCTCATCCACAGAGGACAAGATAACGGTGATGATTTGTAAGCATAAAGGCAAGGAGAAAGACAATGAAGAATGGACACAAAAGGAGGCCGAATTCACAAAGAAATCGACCTATTTTTGGATACAATATGACAGCCAGTTTTTCGTTCTTGATGGCACACATTTTCTTCAATTTTCTCACATAAATCATACACTAAAAAATGGCTAGGTTAAAACCATATAAGTAGGGTTAGGTTAGACTTTTAATTGAAACAGTAACAAAGCTAAATAGGCCAAGATTCAAAGTCATCCAACATGTAATATAAATAGGCCCGATATTGCCTTTGGACTTGATTGTTGATAATTATTTCACTCATCAGTTAAAGCCTATGAAATATATTCCCATGTTAATATCATAGCTTAGGATTTATTGGATATCAAACCCAAACAAATCTCCTCATTGATGTCTAATAAATCTGCAAGCAATTAAAACATATAGTTATTACTTGCATAAAATCAAGATAACCAATAAAATTAGAATCATAGACCTTACCTTATGTACTTATTAGACAGATTACTCAACTTATATCTAACTAGTAAATCACAATAGATCTTAAATTTTCAGGATAATCCTCTATCACCACACTACTTCTTCCAAGAGAAAATGCAAGTACAATCATCTTGAGAAGTGGTAAGGAGGTGGAGGCTCCAGTAAAAGCAGTCTTTACATCGTCGGAGCAAGAAATGATAAAAGATATCACTATAGATAGGAATGTTCCCAATGACGATAAGGCACCTAAGTATAAGTTATCACCTCCTTCTGAATACAAACCAGTACCCCTTTTTCCTCGAACTTTAGCAGAATCTAGGAAAGAGGAACAATTGGTATTAGATCACTGTCTCCTAAATTTCGCATAAAATGCTTGAAAAAGAAAATAAAAGCACTAAAATAACTTGATAAAGAAAAATGAATAAAATAAAATAAAAAATTCGAATAAGTGCCAAGATAAATGAAATTAAACTAAAATACAATCCTTGGCAACGGCACCAAAAACTTGTTATGCGAAAAATATCTTTCGAATTAAAATCATTGCAAGTGCACGGTTCATTTATAAACTGAATTTTTATTTGAGTCCAAGTTTCATTCCCACACGGATTGTACTAGTTTAGGTTTAAATTAGTTTAGTCTTAACCGAAACTATTGAAAGTTATGATTTTTCTCTAACTAATCAATAATCTAATTATAAATGCAAAACCTAATTCAACTAAAATAAATGCAATGTTATAATTAAATGCAAGTGTTATAAAAATATGATGATAAAAAGTGTACTAGGATCCTGAATCCATTTTAACCCAAAATATTTATAAATTTGACAACACGATTCAATTATGAATATCATTATTCGTAATTTTTTTAACAATCTCTTTCGAGTAGAAGTAAACCTATTTTTAAATGTGACCCAACTATATTTCTATGACGGATGTGAACATATAAAAATGCATTAATAGATTTGTGAATACTTAAAGATTTTAAAGTATAATAGTATATTTCTATCTCTTCTCGGACTCTACAATAATTGACATTATGTTTAACTTATTTTCCACCTCTCGAGTGTAAAACAAGTCACACAACTCATAAAACTATTGTGCATATAAATGTAGAAAAAATTACATCTATATCAATCATTCAATAATTAAAAACGTATTTTAAACGGCAAAATAAATAATATTAAGATTTAAAAGTTCATAATACAAGATTTATCGAAAATTCTAGCATATAATAATTTAGCCTAACATAATGTTGAAATTAAACAAATAAATATAGAAAGACTTCAAAAAAATTGACTGAACATGATTAATTCATCAATTTCATATTGCCACAGTCTTATTCCTTTTTCTTTTTTTCTCGTTTTTTGTCGGCTCTGCGTGTATATATAGTATATACCCAAGCTTTTCTCCAACAGCTGCCGCCCCTTTCTTAAAAAAAAAAAGGTTGAACCCCAATTTTAAGGGTCCCCCACCACCTCTGCCCCTGGAGTATCGTGAGGGAGGTAAATCGCAGGTTATGCCTCCAAGGGTACAAGGTGGAAGGCTGCTTGTACACTTGCACTTACCCAAGAGCCAAATACATATTTCAGGATTCGAACCCTTGATGCGGCAGCCGCCCCTTTCTTTTTCTGTCTGCGCGCGTGTATATATATTTTAACCTCAGTCGTTTTCCGCTTTTTCTCTGTCCTCAAGCCGCAATCCACATTTTTTTTCTTTGTAATCCCTCAAGAATCCAATTGGGCTTGACTTTTAAATTTCCTCCCAAATTGCATTGCCTAATTGTATCATGATTTTGCTGCTATTTTTCTACATCAATTTGGTCCAAGTTGCGGCCCATCATGTTGTGTTTGTCTCCAAGTCATCAATCTTTCTAAATAATGCAATTTAGTCCCTTGAATTTACACTGGTGGAGAAAATTCATCAAAGCACTCAACAATTGAAACTCTTGTACGATTTTAATTGTATATTCACGATTTAGGTTACATGAAATTCAAAATTTACAATTTTTATGGGTTATTATCTAATCTCGCTTTTGAAGAAATGAAAATTAGGCCACGACCGTGTAACTTTTCACGTGACGAGGTCAAAAAAGGTTCTACATCCCAATATATTTATATTTAAGTCTGAATATCATGTTATTGAAATTGTCAATGTGGACGTTAAATTTACATGCTTTCGTGTTGGACAGTGTTGAGAAAGTATTAGTCATTGATTTTCAATTCAATCGAAAGTTTGTGTGAATTTAACAATCACATAAAAATCAAATTTACAAATTTAAATAGATTAATACCTAAAACCTCGCTTTTGAAAATTGAAGACTCAGATCAGCGAAAATTTTGAAAATCCAACTCGATTTTCTAGCATTTAAAACCATTACGCCTATAAATAAACGCAAATGGGTGCATTTGGGGTCGGAAAAGTCAAAACATTATAGGACCCGAATAAACTCTGTCGAATTCATATTATAATTAGGTTACGTTTTCCTAAATTTTGTGAAAAAATAATGTTTGTAAAAGTATTTTTTTGGACAATGTGTATTAAGGACATGTTTGAGAGCAATTTTTTTTTTAAAAATTGATTTTTAGATTATTATTTGATTATTCCAGTCATCATATTTGAGTTCTTTTTTTACAGGTGGACTCATCTTTTCTCCTAATGATCAAAAAATCAATTCTCAAAATCACTTTCAATTAGGCTTTAAAAATAAGAAAAAATTTGTATTTATGCGTAAAATAAGGTGTGATTGAAAATAAATTTGAAAATAAAATAGTTGATATCCTCCGGTTCGGGTCAGATCCTGGCGTGGCGGTGGCGGTAATCCCCGACAAAATCGCACACAAACACACACTAGTTATTCTGATCATACCCAGATAGGACTCTCGCTCTTCTCTCTCTCGTAAGAGTACCCTTCTTGTCTTTCTATACATACTTGTGTGCGTATCTATAATTTATCGGTTTATATATTTGATTTATTGTTAGATCGTAGGGGTTTGGACTGAGATTTTAATAGGGTTTTTTATTATGAATTATTAAACAATATATTTTCTAGATTTTTATATGTGTGTGAATGTTTCGGGAATAGTTTAGCATTTTGCCCATGTATTGCTTGATTATTGCCTGGGAAACTGACGTTTTTAGTGCCTTTTTTTAGTTTTGATTGGGTCCAATTGAAACCTGGGTGATTCTGTGGTGGTGAAATTAATGAATAGTTTTAGTTCTAATTTATGTTGTATCGAAACGATATTCACTTGCAGGAATATTTATTTATAGAAGTTTTGCTATCATTTAGAAACAAGATAATACATAAATACGTGTTAGGTAGAAAGATTCCACCCCCCTTCTTGTTGGTGTTGTATTGAGGGTAAGTGAGTTGCCTGGAGAAGGTATCTTTAGTTCTGGAAACCACATATAGGCCTAGTCAAGTATTCATAATTTTTTCCCAGTTATAGTGGGGAATTATTGCTAAGAGTGTGGTTGTAAGACTCGAGTGCTTTGCAACTCGAGGACAGATTTCCTAGCTTACCGCCTTACCCATATGATTGATCAGTATTACTAGGGTGTTTTCTGTCATCTGATGATTGTGTTTTCCAAAATGGTTTGCATAACCTGCTTTTGCTTTCATTCCCATTACATGACTTATTTACTCATATTTGGCAATTTTTTCATTTGGGATATATCCACCAGAAGCTGTGATCTGGATGCTGGTGTTATTTTCCTGATTGACATGTAGATAACTAGTGTCGAACCTTTTATTTCCAAAGATGTAGGATGCGGGGACATGGTTAGAAAGAGTCCAAATATCGGACACGGTATGTGGATACGTCTTTTAAACTTCAATTTTTTACAAATCGAAGATGTCATTTGAATAGACCAAAATCAATTATTTATAAAGAAGAAAATGAGTATTGAATAAGGGGCTAAGATGAATAAGATAGAATTTTGGGTTTTGTTTTCAATTATGGAAATTACTAAATGTTATATAAAATAGAAAATAAGGGACTTGATTGCAGTATGAACTTAACGAAGAACTAAGTAGCACCATATAGAATTCATTTTTATTTTATACAAACAAAACTTTAAACCACAAAAAGAATAAAATGGAAAAAAAGAAAGAAGGAAAAGAAGGAAAAACCTAGTTCCACTGCTGCTGCTTTTCTCCATCCTCTCAGTGGCGATGCTATGTTTATAGAGAGCAGAAACTAGGAAAGAAAAGGGAAAGAAAAAAAGAAAGAAAATAGAATAAGCAAAAAGGTGAAATGTCCGGTTGAGACTTGGAAGATCCGACGCACATCCCATGCCTATACCTATGTTGTGTCGTGTAGTGTCTTGCCTGACACGGGTACTCCGACTATTTTGAAAAGTCCGAGCATCATAGATTTTTTCAAAAGATATTTCCGTTGAATTATATTGTTAGATTCAGAATAACCTTTGAAATTTTGTCTTGCAGGAATTCTCCTGCTAATGAAGCACTTTGGTCTCTATATTGCCTAGTAATATAAGTTTGCTTGTCAGAATTTATTTTATTCAATGAATTACATTTGCAGTTATTGCTGAACAGGTGAACTTGGGGTTGATTTTTACTTATATACTAGAGATCAAATCTTGAAGATGAATATGGAGCCAGTTGTACAACCCAGATCTTCCAATGGATATGGCCGTCGTAAAAATGAAAGAGATATTGTGACAAAGTTTGATAGTAAGTTCCAGGCTGGGAAAACAAATTCTACCAGGTTGACCAGTGCAGGTAAGAGATCATCAATCAATACTGTTTATAATGTCCCATTGTCTGTTTCTGTAAACTTGTTAATTTCAGTTAAAGGAGGAGGGCTTGAATCATCTTCACGTGATCGACTGATATATCTAACTACATGCCTAATTGGACATCAAGTGGACGTCCAGGTGTTGGACGGATCTGTGTTTTCTGGAATATTTCATGCAATAAATGCTGACAAGGATTTTGGTGCGTTCAAATATAGTTGCTCAACTTTAATAACATGAGTACCTTATGGGTGATAAAATCTGGCTTAAAACCCTCTTAAATAAATAGAAAGAATATGATTTCCTTCTTGATCTTGGTGCAGGAATTATTCTGAAATTGGCACACTTAATAAAAGATGGTTCTCAAGGGCAGAAGAATATTTTTGATTCTGTTAATGAGACTCCAAGGACTTTGATCATATCGGCCAAGGAGCTGGTGCAAGTGATAGCGAAGGTTCAATGTGTTTATCATTATATATTTATTTCCTAATTCAATATTCTGGTCACTAAATCTTAACGTAACAAAATGATACTGTTTTTTGGAATGCTTCCATGTTGTCAACCTCAAACGAGATGGGTGTTAGTGTTTTCATCCCTATGCAAGGCCTTTTTTGTCAATTATGTACAATGTGCGACAGTGTGTTCAATGTTCAGGGTGGCTGTGTCTGTCATTGAAGCTTATATGGTAAGCTGATTTTGTTGTTAACTGGAACAGGGTGTGCCTGTAACTAGGGATGGGTTAACAACTGAGCTACAGTATGATGAGCAGCAGGAGCTTATGACAGATTCCTGCATATCAAAGTCCCGGTATATTGACTTGGGCAGAGAATTGGAGCCCTGGGTCCCCGATGCAGATGATCCTGGATGTCCAGAATTGGAGAATACATTTGATGGCCCTTGGAATAGGTTGTTGAATTACTCTCTGCTTTGACTTTGGTTTAATGTCTCTCTTTAAAATTTGTAAATAGTTAGGATAACTCCTGAAACTCCTTTTTTGCATAACTTTTTGAAGAACAATTTATCCATTTGACTATGTCCAACAAGTTGTGTTTTACCACAATTTCAGATCAAGATAATCAACCACTAGTTGTAGCTAACCTTTCAAAAACTAAGAGAGAAGTTTATAAACATTCCTGTTAATTGCTGATATTGCTGTTTGTTTTTTATTCTCCTCTCATAAGATATTTTTTCTAAGAACCTATGAACTATAAATCACCCAAGACATAGTTCCATCAGGGTGTCCTCTTTCCTTGTGCTGTTTTTCACTGATGCAATGTTTGTTTTTTTTTTTTTGGTCCAACAGAGGCTGGAATCAATTTGAAGCAAATGAAGCCTTATTTGGAGTGAAAAGCACCTTTGATGAGGAACTTTACACGACAAAGCTTGACAAAGGCCCTCAGATGAGAGAGTTGGAAAGAGAAGCCAAAAGAATAGCTAGAGAGATTGAGAGCCAGGAAACCCACGATCTTCATCTGGCCGAGGTTAGATAGAAACTCCGGTAGATTTTTTATCTGTTTTTTTCTTCATTTATCTCAAACACATTTTTTAATAGGAAAGAGGTATTCAGCTCAGTGGAAATCTGGAAATTGACGAGGAAACCAGATTCTCATCAGTCTATAGGGCGGTTGATGACAGTCAGTATGATGAGATTGAGGACATATCGTTGGATTCTCAAAATGATGAAACATTTGGAGACGTTTCTGGTTCTGTCACTGGCAAATCTTTCACAGACTTGGGCACTGGGAAAATCAATTTTGAATCTCAAATGTCTTCTAGATCTTCTTTGAAGGTAATTAAAAGATTTAAGTATATATTTTTCTGTATTGCTTCTCTTCATATGTGGTTTTGCACCCCCCCCCCCCAACCCGCCTTTTAAAAAAAAAAAAATGTTCCACGTTTCTAGGTCTTTGGCTGTCCTGTGTATTCTTGCACTATTATTTTCCTAGTTCCATTATTGAAGTTTTTGTCATGTATGTTGTGTCCAACCCTACTTTCCTGCCTCTAGGTCTGTGTGCCTAAAGAAAAATTGGAAGAGACTTAAAGAATGAAAGAGAGGGACCACCTGTGAGATACACGATTGATCCAAAAAAAATGGGAATCAAGAGCCTGCATCTATTTCGAGAATGTGTTTTAATCTAGAGAAAGTCGAATTTTTATGCCAAACTGCACTGCGACCTTGTTTGTTTTTCAGAGTACATTATATCTAAACTTTGGCACCCTCATCCTTCTCCTGCCTACCCATCCACCTTGTCAAAAGGAAATAAAGCGTCCCCGCAGACGGTTGGCTATAGATTTTCTGTCTTGCTTGCTATGATAAGAATGTGCTTGATTTTTGGTTTTGAAATCTTTTATTTCTGTCATACCACATTTTATACTGTTCCATAATTTTTGGGGGCTAATAATTGAATGTCATCATCTTTTTGACAAAATACCGACATTTGGATTACTTTAAATTAAGGCTCAAGGATTACAGTAGGACCCCTATGTAATATATCTTCGCAAAACTTGTTTTCAAATTTTATGATGGTAACCTTTTCTTTCTTGTGATAATATTCTTGTGTCTGTGGTGTAACAATGGATTATATTTAATAGTAAGTGAATGAAATATTTAAGCCTTTTTTTGTTCATTTGATTTTTCTCCTATAAAAGGAAATTTTTTGTCTAAACTTTTCTGGGCACTATACCCTCCTTTCTTCATAGCTTCCTCTTTCAACATCTTGCTTATTAGACCATTAAATGATTAGAGCATGATGCGAGTGTTATAGCTGTAGATAAATGACTAAAATTAATCAAAAGGGTTTGTCGCCTAAAAAAAAGAGAATTGCATGTAAGGTATCTGATTATGTGATCCACCAAACTACATGTTCGGCTTGCTGACTATCAGTTGCAGGGCTCTTTTACAGCTTATTGCAAGCAAGATATCTGATTATGTGATCCATCAAGCTACATGTCTGGCTTTTAGACAGTCAGTTGCAGGGGTCTTATGATTCAAGATAAAATTCTGTTAATTTTTGTTTCCTAATCTCCAGGATGATGTACAACCTTCTCAGAATAATACCAGCAAAGAATTGTGTCATTCTGGTTTTGAGGATGATATTGGATTGCTTTCAACTGACCTGCTTCCTAAAATTTCCCCTGCTATCGATGCTAGCAGGTTCCTAATCTATACCTGATATTTCATGTCTGTGGTCAGATTCTTTTATGTTTAACATAATACTAAAAATGTCAGAATTGTGATACTAATTTAAATTTTAATCAGGAAGCTTTATTCTTGACGAAGTTCTAATAAGTCTCTCAATGATTTTAGGCTTCAAGATGACCAGTCAACTGAACGGGTTGATAGTACTTGCAGTAAGGAGAATATACGAAAGCCTATGGTGATTATCTGTTGAATGCTCTAAAAAGATTTCTCGTTTTCATTTACCATCTATTTTATTGGCAGCTGGGAAATTCTTATCATCTTTTGTTCTATGCAGCTACCTGATCAAACTGAAGTGTCAAAAGCTGATGGTGAGTGATCCTTATGGTGCTGTTTACATTTGTTCAGTTGTTCCAGATCAATTAGCAACTAGTAAGATGATCTTTAAATAGAGGCCAAAGTCCACAGTCCCCCTCTTTTTTCTCTTTGTTAAGTTGGGGATGATAAACAAGGACATTAGTTATCTAGAACTTGTTCCCGCGCCATATTATTTAATTTTCTTACAGGCAGCATTAGATTAATTTATCATTGATAATTCTTGCAGATATGCAGTTGTCATCGAGAAATGAGAAAGAAAGTTCTGATCAAGGTGGATTGTCTCCAAATGGTACAGCCTCTAATCCGTCACATGCTCCATCCAAGGGTCAGGAAAAGGCAAGTTCATCCAATGAGTTGTCCCAGGGTGCAGTACCTTCCAAAACTCAAGGGACAGTAACTTCTCATGCCCGTCCCAGTAGTTCTGCATCTTCAACTTCTGATCGCGGAGGTGCCACATCAACTGCTGGTCGTGGATTATCACCAAGTTCATCCATGGGTTCATTGTCCTCGGAGAAATCGACACTGAATCCATTTGCTAAGGTGGTTGCAATATTATCTTTTTTTCAATAATGGCTGTTGCGGTTAAACTGATCTCCTTCCCCCGCTCGAGCCACAAATAAGGCGGCTTTTAGACACGCTTGGCTTTACACAATTTAAATTCTTCTTTTGGCATATTTCGGGGATGTGGCTGATAAATTTTTCCACTCTTGATTATTCCACAGGAATTTAAATTCAACCCCAACGCAAAGAGCTTCATACCATCTCAGACTCCTTTAAGATCTGCTTCTCCTGTTGCTTCTGATGGATCCTTCTACTATCCAGCTAACATGGCTTCTCTATCGCAGATGCATGGCATGCCTGTTAATATTGGGGTGAGTGTATAGTTTTTAATTTCTACCAGATTTTATTATTCTTATACTGTGCATATAGATAGCCATTGTCTACAAGCCGACAAACATGATGCAGTTTCTCTGTATTTTAATATCACCTTAATTACTAAATCTGCATTGTTATGCATGTAGCCGTTATTGATGCCACTTCTTTTCATTTGAAAATGCGTTGACTTGTGTTCATGTTCCAGAGACTTTACTTTCACAGCAATTTCATCTTTTACTTTTATTTGCATAGCAAATGTCATACTTGTGCTTTTATCAAGGGAAAAACAGTGGTGTGATTTTCTTACCATAATCTAATTGATACTGTGTGAATGATGATATTGATGCATGGTTAGGCATCTGATTAATTATTTCTTTTCCTGCTTCAAACAAACTGTGCTTTGCAACAGAGATGTAGGTATTGGGTTGAAGTTTTTACTGTATTTTATGAAGATTAGTATTTGTATAATCTGATATTCCATTACAAAGTTGCACATTCTTCTTGATGAGTCATTTGATAGTTGAACCATGATTGATGCTGGCATACTTGGTGTTCTTATAAGTGATTTAGTCTTTTAACTTTATCATCTTCAAGGCTTAACCTCACGTCTTCACACACTCCTAATTTGCAGCATTTGTTTGAATAGAAATATATCGGGCTAATTCAGCAATCTCGGAAGATAAGCAGCCTCTAATCCTATTATTTTTTGGACCTGGGATTTTGTTATATTTTTGAAGTTAATCTTCCTCGAAGGGATAAAACCATGCAAAATCTTGTTCATCATCATATCTTGTTACGGTTTTTTTTTTTTTTTTTTTTTAACAAGTGGTAGCTAATCACATTCTTTTCAGATTGGACCCTCATTTACTGCCCAGCAGCCCATTATGTTCAATCCACAGGGTGCACAAATGCCACAACAGTATTTTCATACAAACGGACCTCAGGTTTGTCGACATTTTATGGAATTAAGGGCCCTGCACAAATTGTTCTACCCTTTTGGTGTCTAGCTATATTTATGTTCTACTATATTTAATACAGTACGGGCAGCAGATGATAATTGGGCAGCCTCGGCAAGTCTTGTACATGCCAACATATCCCCCAGTAAGTTGTTATTGTCTCTTTTCTTATTACGTTGCATGTTTTGGAGTGTTGCTGTAATGTTTGTATTATTGCAACTATAGGGAAACAAAAATGTGTGACCATCCTATTTTACCTATGAATCTTTCTGTTGCTAGCATTATTGTGTTATGGCAAAAATTCACAGTTCTATTATTCGTGAGGATTTGCGTAACGTTTCAGCATTTTGGAGAAAACATTGCAGAAATAAAATACCCCCATGACAAATGCCTCTTTAGCACATGATGACAACATTTCAAGCCGATTAAGCTTTCCATCTCTCTTCAATTTAGAGATCCTATGTTAGACTAGACTAACAGGGTTTTTGGTAGCATCTATTTTGGCCTACTTATGAGCAATGTATTCCAGTTGTCTGCAATGAAAGAGCCTATAAACTCTAAAAATAAGTACTTTAAACACGCAGTGCTTGTTTTTTGGGCTTATAAGCTAGAAAAATAAATTTATTGATTGAATATAAATGAGATCCATGTATGTTATCACAAACAATTTTATGTTACTTCAGTATGCTGATGAATAGAAATCATCTTCTACATTGTTTATTAATTAATTTATTTTTTCAGGAAATGCCGTACAAAGGAAGAAACTTTTAGACTGATTGGCACTCTATTTTCAGCAGTCCTGCCATGACTGATAGAAAATAAATTTCTGACAGTGAGCCGCTTGGAAACAATTTTGGGAAGAGCTGAGCAGCTGATAAATATCCAATGGCTCTGGAAGCCTTTATCTGCCCAGATACAATTTGTTCCTTCAGGCAATGGCAACACACTCTTGTAAGCCGGTGGACAATCCTTGTTCATCTTAATGTTCTAACATAGAGTACTCTTTTTTATTGCTCTCTTGTTATTGTTATCCTTTGTTTTAATATTTGTGGAATTATCCGGTTAATACCCCCCCCCCCCAAAAAAAAGTAATAATAATAATAAAGATACGATTTGTGAAATTATGTTATGATTAAATCTTTATTTTGGTTTGTGAATTAAATATCTTTTGAGGCGCTCGAATATCGACACACCCCGACCCACCACGAACACAAGCACTGTATTCTATTGCAATACTGGTCATGAGTTATGTGGTTATCCCTGTCACTACATAATTTTCATCTGTTCATTTTCAATTTTTGGTTCATGGTTTCTTGCAAATCTTGCATCTCGTTTGAATGGAATGAATGGAGCCTAATTGGTTCGATCTTTTGTCCCTACGATTTATTATATGTTGTCTAGATCTTATCAAGTTATTTTCCATTTAACTTTCCTATCTGAAATAAGTTGATTGCGTGGTTACCTTTCTTTTTTTATTGTAGCTACATAAAATAAATACGTAGAAGAATAAAAAAAAGTGATTATTTTTATTTTATTTTTGACGAGGGGAGAAATTTTATATTGCGACAACACTTAAAAGCACGTCAACTTAATAGCTGGGATAATCCAAAGCCAAGGGACGAATCATGTCAAACATATAAAAAATATATAAAAAATTTATTTTACTCGTTTTAATAAGATTGAATTTATGAGAAGAAATTTGAGTATGAATTTGGTTTTTCAAAATATATGTCCTCAAACAAGTCAGTATGTTGCGAGATTTGGATGCTTTTTCTAAAAGGTTGAACTTTTAAGATGGAACTTTAGAGTGCAAAAGTGTGTCATGCGAAGGGACAAGCAGCCTTGTTAACTTCATGCTGAACAAAGCTGAAATGTACATAATCTCAATCAAATCTTACCAACATTTGTTCTATCAAAGTATCTATTTACATTTTTCTGTCTAAGTTGGCTTTATCATAAATTGTTTAATGAAAAAGTTAAGTATATGTCCTTTGGTGTACATTTAGTTTGACATCCTTCTAATAGAGGGTGGGATTCGTGATTATTACACTTAGCATTTCTCTAGTTTAACTACATATTTCTGAATACATTCAAACAGGAGGTAATAGGTCGGAATATCTAAAAATTGATATTGTTGGATTCGGAATTTAATAAAGTTCTTTCAATTAATGATATTTTAAGAAATTCACAAGTCATCGAACATTTAAATTTTAATAGAATTTATTAAAATCTAATTTGGAGACTCAAAAAATTTAAGGGTTATTTTCCCCAATCATGTTGTACAATGTGTCTTACAACTTGGTTTACAATGCATGACTTAACAAACATCACATTCATCTATTTGAAAAATCGTTTTTAAAATCAAGGGTTAGGATTTTTTCAACACATATTGTCAATCAAATTGTGCAAATACATTGTACAAGTGACTTAATTTTATTTTCCTTGTATAGGGAAATATTGTATGTGGGATATACAAGTGTTGTACCGACAACACCTACGTGTTTGTAATTTATTTTTGCCAATGTTCAATAGAATAATGTCTAATGTCCCTCATAAATAAATTTGAAAAAATTGCTTGTACACATGGTATGATTCAAATTTTAAGGGCTCATTGTAAAGAGAAATTGGAGGGAAATGATGTAGTTAAAAAAGCATTGAAAATTTTGAACTTATGTATATAATATTTTATTTCAAATTTTAATGGCTCATTGTAAAGAGAAATTGGAGGGAAATGATGTAGTTAAAAAAGCATTTTTGAATTTATGTATATAATATTTTATTGTGTGAATACGAGCTTGAAAATTAGTACAATAAATAAAGAATTTTAAAATAGTCAATAAATTTTGATATGTGACACCTCCAAAATTCATGTGAACAGTGAACTCGACAATCCATTTAATTTTAAGAACAAAACAAGCCCTCCATTCAAAACACACCCAATCCCCCACACTCCCCCCGCCCCGCGCTCCTCGACACCCTAGGTTCTCCATTTTCCTCTCTACAATGGCGGCTTCTCCCATTTTCCGATCCTCCTCTCTATCGCCTCTATCGCCCCAACTCCCTCAACACAACTCATCCGCCAACGCTAAACCCCGTGGCACCGCCCATTTTACCCCAATCAAAGCAACCACCTCTTCCGACCCCGCTACGACATCCCCTTCACCCGCACCACAATCTTCTAACCATCTCAAGCATCGACGCTCAGCTGACGAGAATATCCGGGACGAGGCCCGTCGCCACAACGCTGCTCACAACTTCTCGGCCAAGTACGTGCCCTTTAACGCCGACCCCACGTCGACCGAGTCTTATTCACTGGATGAGATCGTGTATCGAAGCCGCTCTGGTGGCCTCCTCGACGTCCAGCACGACATGGACGCTTTAAAGAAATTTGATGGTCAGTACTGGCGATCCCTTTTCGATTCCCGTGTAGGCAAGACCACATGGCCGTATGGGTCGGGAGTCTGGTCTAAGAAGGAGTGGGTTTTACCGGAAATTGATAGTGATGATATTGTTAGTGCGTTTGAGGGGAACTCGAATCTTTTTTGGGCTGAGCGTTTTGGCAAACAGTTTCTGGGCATGAACGATTTGTGGGTGAAACATTGTGGGATTAGTCATACTGGTAGTTTTAAGGACTTGGGCATGACTGTTTTGGTGAGCCAAGTGAATCGGTTGCGCAAATTGAACCGGCCCGTGGTGGGAGTTGGGTGTGCATCCACGGGTGATACATCAGCGGCTCTGTCAGCTTATTGTGCCGCTGCTGGGATTCCGTCCATTGTGTTTTTACCAGCGAACCGGATATCCATTGCACAGTTGGTTCAGCCAATAGCCAATGGGGCTTTTGTATTGAGTATAGATACTGATTTTGACGGTTGTATGCAGTTGATTCGTGAAGTCACCTCTGAGTTACCCATTTATTTGGCCAATTCGTTGAATAGTTTGAGGTTGGAAGGGCAGAAAACCGCTGCAATTGAGATTTTGCAGCAGTTTGATTGGGAAGTGCCCGATTGGGTGATTGTTCCTGGTGGAAATTTGGGGAATATATATGCATTTTACAAAGGTTTCCATATGTGCAAAGAGTTGGGACTCGTTGATAGGATTCCGAGGCTTGTTTGTGCTCAAGCATCTAATGCTAATCCACTTTACTTGCATTACAAATCAGGATGGAAGGACTTTAAGCCAGTTAAGGCAGGTACTACCTTCGCATCTGCTATTCAGATTGGTGATCCTGTTTCAATTGATAGAGCAGTTTTTGCATTGAAGAATTCAAATGGGATTGTTGAGGAGGCAACTGAGGAGGAGTTGATGGATGCCATGGCCCAGGCAGATTCAACTGGGATGTTTATATGCCCTCACACTGGTGTGGCATTGACTGCATTGTTTAAGTTGAGGCAAAGTGGGGTTATCCGTCCTACAGATAGGACTGTTGTGGTAAGTACTGCTCATGGATTAAAGTTCACACAATCCAAAGTCGACTACCATTCTGGGGAGATTAAAGACATGGCCTGCCGGTTTGCAAATCCACCTGTTCAAGTGAAGGCAGATTTTGGGTCGGTCATGGATGTTCTGAAAAATTATCTGATGAGCAAGGAGTCCAAACATTAGACTTGGTTTATTTTATGAAAGTAGTAAGTTTTTCTCATAATATTCCTGTTTTTTTTAGCGACTTTAGTTGTCGCTTCTGTTTAATGATTTCCCATTATAATTGTTGTTGGCTCATAAGTTATGTAGAATTAGGTGCAATGCTGGGTATCATTGATTGCATTGGAGCTATGTGAGAAGGTTTTTTGCTTTGAGGAACTGTATCATCACAAGATGGAATTTTGTTTCAAAGGAATAAAAGTTCATATTTTAAATTGATTGATTGTTTGCTCCGTTTTGTTTAGGACCATAACACAATTGTTGCCATTTTGATTGTTCCATGGAAGTTGCAATTGTGACTTGCTTTTGTTTTGTTAGTCTATTTCCTTCATGCGAGTGATGTATGGTTGTGTGCATGTGAATATTTGTAACTTTGTTCTTTGATGTGCTTATGTTTGCTTTCCATGAAAAATCATACATATGATTATATTAAGGGTGTTTGAGAATTGTCGAAACTGGTACTATTGAGAGTTAGTTGTCAGGTGTCTATTTTGCCCCTACCACCTGGTTCATTTCCTCGTATATAGTTTCTTCTGAGTATTTATCATTTCATCTTTACTTCTAGAAGATGCTTTCTCGATCTGCTAGGACCTGCTGCTTCATATATTACTGGAGATAGCGTGTAAAGATGGGGAAATTTTGTAATCCTGTAATCTTGAGGAAGTTTTATTCGTAAATATTCACCTTCTATCTACCGGATGCCATTTGCTTCCCCCACCAATATTTTGATCCGAGCATTAGCTGATTACGTCCTGGTGTAATTGAAATAAGTAGGAGATAGTTCATTTGCTGAAGCCAGAAAAACAGATTTTAGTTCAAAGAAGGATGCGACTTCATATAATGACTGGTGTAACAATAACAAGTCATCATGCCTTGCTCTAGAAAAATGTTTATAGTTACTTTATTTCTGGTTTTTAATTTTAGCAAACTAAAACGTGTTGAAAAATTTACTGTTGATTTGCTTTATTGTGTTTTTACTGCGAACATGCTTGTTATTTATTGTTGATTTTCATCACTGTTTTTCCTTTCTCTGCAATCAGTTGCATAATTTGCTCCAATTCAAAGATCAACATGTGAGGTGGTGATCAACATTATGGCTAGCTGAAATTACTATGCAGATGAGCATGCTTTGTTCTCAATGAATATAATTGAGCTTGATATCCATTCACTGCCTGTTAATCCTCTGAGAGAGTTTAAATTGAAATACGTGATGCAGTTAAAAGTGTTGAGAGTTCTCATTTTCTCATGAAGTTGCAGGTCATGTTCGTCTGATGGATTAGAAAGATGTGTATCCAGTAGGAGTTGCAAAAGATTTCTGAAGCCTAATGCAAATCTTAGCAGCCCAAGAATCTGTAAGGTTATTCCTTTTCCTCTTCAATCCATCGAGCTTGTAGCCTTCTAATTGCCTTATAAATTTGAGCACAAGACTAATTTGGTTTGATTTGATCATGAGAAATGTTCTCATGATCAATTTTTAATTCATTCTCAATTTGATACAATGACCATGTTTCTAGAATTGACTTCTCGTTGACCCACACCACAAAGACGGAGCCCGTGACAACACAGTCATTGTATAAAGGTATGGCAATGTGCATTCACGGGGCTTCTGTTCTTATTGTTCCATGTCCCTTTTACCCCACCCCTCACCATCTTCTTTCTATATAAACTACCCCTTGCATTTCTTTGAACCTCAGCAAGCAAGCAAAAGCAATAGGGTATACTAACATGTTTAATATGGAATCGTATAAGAAGGTTGCAATTTTGATGCTGTTGATGTCTATAGCCATAAGCAGTAACATTCTCGAGGTGTCGAATGCACAAACCATATGCAACATGTCCGGGAAGGTCTGATGGCATGCAGGCCAGCGGCTACATCCCCGACCCCACCACTTCCGTCGGCCGCCTGTTGTTATGCAATCTCGCACGCAGACTTTCTCTGCCTTTGTTTCTACAAGAACTCCAAATTCTTGCCCTCACTGGGAGTCGACCCAAATCTTGCCATGCAGCTGCCGTCAAAGTGCAAACTTCCTCGTCCGGCAAAATGCTAACGTATAACTTCGAACAGAACAAGAAAGAGTGTGATAATCCTAATGCTCATTAGAGCAATATTTCGTGCCTGTTTTTATATTCTAAAGCTTGTCGGTTGCTGCATTTTGTACTGGGAGCCTGTAGGAACGCTATACATATGATTACCTGTTTATGCTTACTTATTTTCAATTTAGTTGCATTGTCAAAATATAAGTTTCAGTGTGAAGTTAATTGTTGGTCAAATAACATTTTCATTTTGCTGTCATTCTCAGTTGTAATGTTCGTTTGTTGTAGTTTGCTTGTGGGATTTAAGATTATTGCACTTCTGTCAAGTTTTTGTTTTATTTTTTGTCCTTAATTTTTTTTATTTACTCATAATTATCGGATACATTTACTTACTGGAGCCTACATGAGTAATTTCGAGATCATTACTCCTTCAAACGACTAAATCATCGAGCCCTTTACTATCTGGAGAGCTCAGTATTCAACCTCGGCTCAAGATTTGGAAAGTGAACAATCTTGATGCACCTTTAGAGGACAAGAGGATGATACAAAGTAACATAGAATACGAACAACATTGTGGCGTTTAAACAATAATGGCTTTTCTTTGTATTTTTAGTTAAATTATTTTTATTCAGGTAGGAGTTTTTGGCTTCATGCTCAATAGTTAGTGGAGGTTTTGGAATTGTTCTTTACCCGATTATTGTGGTGACCTTGTAACATATTGCATTGATAGTAAAAATTCCATTGCATAACGCACCACTTAAAAATCTTAGATGTGAAAACTGGACTATGCATAAAGTTCCTTTTTTTATTTTATTGATAAATGTAAATATCAATGATAAAAAATGTTTCATATATAAGTACACCGGACATTTTTGGGTGATTCAAAAGCCAATATCACATACAATTACTCTGGACCTATCTGAGTAAAAGAAAAAGATATGAAGTGCAATGAAAATCAATGACCCAACACTAAAGACTTGAAATAGATCAAGACATCCGGATGCAAAGAGAACATAACTTTGTATACGTGTGTTTTGATCCGTCTCATTATATAATCTAAATTAGGTGAAAGGTATTCAAAAATCTTTCTATTACGTGTTAATCAAATGTAGTAAACAGTGTTTGCAAGTGCAATCTGATTAGTCTTGCTAAGCCATGAATATATGCCCACAAAAATCACACATGAGGTCAATATCCAAGAAATGCAGTTTGTCTTTAGTTAGGAGCTCTGATTAGGCCCCTAACTAAAGCAAAAGGGAGTGCTTCAGAGTGATGCAAGGTTTCCAAACGTCGGCAGCCCAACTTTTCTTAGTTACCCCTCGGCTTGAAGAAATCATATGCCCTTTTTGTGTTGAATTTAGGGCCCGTTTCCCCCACCGAAAAAACTGTCCAGAAATCCCAGATTTCGGCTCCCATTTTGAGCAGTCGGTTGAACCACAAAATTGTTCAGATTTCCATGTATTCGCTCTGAGTTGTCTCCCAGATTTGGTTGCCTGTTCTGAGCATTCGGCCAACTTAGAAAACTGTCCAGATTCAGCTGAATTCGTCCCCTGTTTTGAGTATGCTCAACCTGTTGAATTGAGGCAAAAGCAGCTGAAATAGTTCGGTCATGTTCACAGTCCACCAGATTTCTGATTTCCACCAATTTTTTAAAAAGTGGAAAATGATCTTTTCTAGGACGAACCTCCCAAATGCAAGTCCCTTTGAGATATACTTGGTGAACCCAACGAATCCATAGTGTGTCCTTTTTATGATGTATATTCCAAAGGGATTTAACAAGTAATGCTAAATTCCAACTTTTCAAGTCCTTCAAGCTGAGGCCACCTTCATCTTTTGGAAGGCGAAGATCCTTCCACGCAACCGGAGGCTTCTTAGATCCCCAAAGGAATTTTCGACAATGGCTAACAATCCTTGATATAATTGTAACCGAGATAGGGAAGATAGAAAGCCAAAAACATTCAACTCCTTGAAGAACTACCCTTATAAGTTCCACCTTGCCTGCATAAGATAATGAAGAGCAATTTCATGCACCAATATAAGTTTTAATTTTGTCAAGAAAGGAAGCATAACAACTTACTTTTAGTTTTACCGAAGCAAGTGGAATGCCCAAATACCGAAATGGCATACTACCCCTCAGGAGATTTGTGAGTTGCAAGATATCCTCAAGTGGTTGTCCATGAATCCCGGCCAAATACAAACTAGATTTGAGGGTGTTCAACCTTAAACCCGATACCAAACAAATTTGAGAGGCAATCCATGAGAATTTTCACCAACATGGCATCTCCCCTAGCAAAGAGCATCAAATCATCTGCAAAAGCTAAATGAGTGATCTTTAGGGGCCACATTTAGGGTGATAATTGAAATTACTGTCATTTGTGGTGGCTTTAACCATTCTTGAGAAGTATTCAATACATACCACGAACAAAAAGAGGGAGAGGGGGTCACCTTGTCAAAGGCCTTTCCTTCCTTTGAAGAGCCCATGCATACTTCCATTCAAAGCTATGGAATATGTTGGAGAAGTAACACATTCCATGACCCAACTTACAGATCTCGAGGGGAAGTGCAACCCTTCAAGAACATCTCTAAGGAAATCCCAACTTACCGAATCGTAAGCTTTCGTAAGATCAATTTTTAGGAGGCATCTTGGAGCAACCCTTTTCCTATTGTATTGCTTCATGAGTTCTTGTACAATATTACCCAAAATGGGTCTCAGTCTAGAGGCAAGAATTTTAGCGATCACTTTGTAAGTAACATTACAACAAGAGATAGGCCTAAAATCCCCAACATGCGGTGTGTGACCAGATTTAGGCATCAAAGCAATGACCGTGTGATTGATTTGTTTGAAGATGGAATTAAAAACAATGGAGAATTTGTAAAACCAGCAGTGATATATGAGATGAAATGGAAGGGCCAACTTGATTCTTCTGTGTATTTCAATGGATTTATATAGTAGAGCTTAGTATACAAAAATATGGAATGAGTAGTCTTGCATGGAGGAGATTGAAGAGTACTGTGATTGCTTGGTTTAACACTCCCCCCGGCAAAGTGATGGTGATGATCATCACCATCAGTTTGGACCTAAGTACTCCAAAACGAGCAGTTGTTTGCCCCTTTATGAAGATATTAGTAATTTGATCTTGGGTGGAAATATGTTGGACCTGAATGTCTTTATTGAGGACCTTTTCTCGAATGAAGTGGTAGTCAATTTCCATGTGTTTCGTGCGGGCGTGGAAAACGAGATTAGAGGCCAAGGCGATAGCGCCAATGTTATCACACCATAGTGTAGGAGTGTATGGTAGGAAGACACCATGTTCTTTGAGGAGCATCCTTATCCAACAGAGTTCGGCTATGGCGATGGCCATGCTTCTATATTCGGCTTCAGTGCTACTCTTGGAGACAATTGGTTGTTCCTTGGCAGACCATGATATCAAATTTTGACCCAGGAAAACTATATATCCAGTGGTGCTGCGACGATCATCGGGGTACCAGCTTGAAGAGTAATAGATCCTGGAGTGAATAGTAAACTGGCATCAATACTACCCTTTAGATACTGAAGAACTCTTTTGACAGCAGCCCAATGAAGTTCACGTGGGGAATGCATAAATTGGCACAATTGATTTACAGCATATGCAATATTCGGTCTAGAGAAAGTACAATATTGAAGTACCCCGACCACTCTTCTATACTCTGTTGGATCAGACAATAAGGGACCTTCTACAGAAGATAACTTTGGACCAGATGTAGTAGGGCACCCAAGGGGCTTTGCACCATCCATCTTGGTGCTATGTAGTAAATTTATTATGTACTGGGTTTGATGAAGATGCAACCCTTGAAAATCTCTTGATGGTTGAAAACCTAAAAAAAAAACTTAGATCTCCAAGATCTTAAACCATGAAGTTAGTTGATAGAGATTGAATAAAAGTGTTAATGGCATGTGAGCTTGATCGAGTAACTATAATGTCATCAACATATATCAACACAAATAATTTCGCAGTCTCAGTAGTGTAGACAAAAAATGAGTAGTCAGTAGCTGATTCAACAAAGCCATACTCAAGTAGGTGTTGGGATAGTCGTCTAAACCAAGCTCTCGGAGCTTGTTTAAGGCCATAAAGTGACTTATAAAGCTTGCAAACAAAATCAGGATGAGTCTCATCGACAAAACCTCGTGGTTGTTCCATGAATACCTCTTCATCATGATAGCCATGCAGAAAAGCATTTGAAATGTCTAATTGTCGAATAGGCCAATTAAATGAAACAGCTAAAGCTAACACAATGTGAATAGAAGTAGGTTTTACCACAGGAGAAAAGGTGTCTATGTAGTCGACACCACACTTTTGATCAAAGTCTTTTGCGACCAAACGGGCTTTAAATCGTTCAATATTTCCATCAGACAATCTCTTGATTTTATAGACCCATTTGTTGTGTACGACCTGTTTACCATGTGGGTCGGTACAAAGTGATCAAGTCTCATTCACCATTAGTGCATCAAATTCTCGTCCCATTGCTTCACGCCACACTGGAGAGGCAACTACTTGTGTGTAATTGGATGGTTCAGTGTCAGTGATAATAGAGGCGAGTACGTGCAAGGGATACTTGGTAGTATAAAACATTGTAAAATCAGGAAAGGCCTTAGGTTTTAAGTTACCTGTCATTGAGCGGGTTGTTGCTCAATTGGGGTGTGGGACAGGGATAGGGAATTCATGTGAGGTAATTTGTTCTATAGACTGGGTTTAAAGTGTTTTTGAATTTGGAGTTTCGAGGTCTTGGGTTTCGACTTGTAGTGGAGAAATGGGATTTGAGAAAGGGGTTTGTGATTGAGTGAGGGTCTCGTGGGCGCGTGATGCTATTGGGTCGATGGCAGGAGTTGGTGGAATAGGAATATCTAAAATTGAAAGAGGTGAAGGAGAAAGTGTACCAGGCGAGCTCGAGCTTGACGGGGCAGGAGAAGTTTGGACTTGACCCTTTGCAGGAAAATGTTTTTCATCAAAAATTACATTTGTGACACATAGACACGTCCTGTAGCTTGGTTAAGACAGTGGTAACCTCTTTGTTGACCAACATATCCTATGAAGACACATACTTTGCTTCTAAAGGACAATTTATGAGGCTCATATGGTCTTAATAAAGGAAAGCATGCTGATCCAAATATGCGAAGTGAGAGTATCGAGGAATGGTTTTATGGGGCATGTAAAAAGGAGTTAAATTATTTAAAACTTTTGTTGGAAGTCTATTTATTAAATATATTGATGCCAGGAATGC